CTTCTTCTTCTTCTTCTTCTTCTTCTTCTTCTTCTTCTTTATCAGAGAAGAGATAGAGGTAACTGCAGACATTGTTTGGACACGGCCTTCTGCCTTATTGGACACGACATTCAGATCAGACTTACACTCTACATTGGGATTGAACTGTGTGCGACATTCGGAGATCAGACTTGGGTTGGACTTGGTTACCTCTATGTCCCTCCCCCTTCTCTCTCGCTTGTCTATGGATCTCTCCCCATGTGTGTGAGCAAAAGGGCAATCTTTCTGGTGTCTTGCCCTTCCGAAGTTTCTCCCTTTCATGTTGTTGTCCACGTGTCCTCTTGATACTAAATCTTCCGCTGCGCCGCTTCCCAGCCTACGATGATGATGATACGAATGTGTTGTTATTGATTTCCCGTTGTTTCACTCTTTGCATCGCGCACATTGACACCTTGTGAATGTTGCACCTATGCTGCTGGTTGTTGCCACTTTCGTCATTGCTAGATCCTAGGCTTTCAGTGCATTTCACTTTCTGATATGCTACAGTGTGTGTGTGTGTGTGTGTGTGTGTGTAATGAACCAAGTCTGGTAGATACTTCGAAGTCGTCAAACATCAGTAGTCTCAGTACCTTCAACAAAGTCTCCAAATCGTGAAGTGATATCTCAAATAGTATCTTATTACCATTAGACGAAGAGAGTGGAGGGGGATCAGACAGAGGAGAAGGTGGAAGAGATGATAAAAGATTACATAAAAGTAATCTCGTCAAACCCCTCTCCTTCTCCGGGCTTCTTCCCTCTCCACGTCAACAACCAGCAGATGATAACAAGTATAGTAATCCTGATCACACACAATAGTGCCACGTGGCACTCTTATCACACGAGGACCATGAAGACACAACAGATTTCAGTAACGACGTCAACCTCAGGTGAGTATCCGGCCTCCCTCATCCACAGATCTTGATCTTCCTCCTCCTCGCAACCAGTCACCTCATGTTGACAGCGTGGACAACGCCACGTCAGCAGTCGAGACAGGTGGCATACCCCACATCATCAATGAAGACCAAAGGCAGTGTCACATCAGAACAGAGGCAGCGCCACATCAGATGTAGACCAGAGATAGCTCCACATCAACATGCAATGTAGACCAGAGGTAGCGCCACATCAGCATGCAATGTAGACCAGAGGTAGCGCCACATCAGCATGCCTGACGCACAAAACAGGAAGCGCCAGCATGCTGCCTCCAACTCGTAGCACCGTCCGCATCACCAGTGCACAGCCAGCGTCGAGCCAGCATAATGCCAGCGTCTAGTCAAAGTCGAGCCAGCGTCAAAGCAGCATAGCAAGACTGAATGTTGACCACCTTGAGGCCAGTCTCTAAGCAGCATTTGACGAGGCTCTCTGGCCTCGGGTCTCCTTCCCTCAGTCGTCCAGATTGATTCACAGCCGAAGGCCTGGATTGTACAGTTGCAGACTTTCCCCTTGGACCTGATGCTGTTTGGGTACCTGCATACAAACAAATGTGTGTGTTCGACCAGCGGCCTGGGCTGGGTACACTTTGACTTTGACTGTTCGGGTTTCCGACAGTTGACTTTTGTCAACTGTACCTCGTCCAGGCCCTGAATCTCTTGGTGGGGTCTTTTTCCCCATTTTGGACTGGGCCTGGGTGTGGCCTGGCGAG